TTTTAAATTTTTCCTTTTTTTCCCCTGGGAGTGGCTCCTTATGTAGTCCAGACTAGCCTTGAACTCAAATCCTTTTGCCTTCATCTCCCACATGCTGGATTATAGATGATGCCACCATACCCAGCTTGATTACCTTGTTTGAAGCTTTGGGGCTCAGAGCTGGAAGAGTTATTGTTTGGGAAGTTGAGAAAGAAAAGAATGAATGTTGCTACAGCTTAAATGTTTGCAGCTTTAGTAGAGGGGGAGGAAATAGGTGGTTCTCCTATTCCAAACTAATCATATGGGTAGATGGATAACCTTACCTAAGTGGATAGTCAGGTAGGTCAGTAAACACTGTGAAGCCATTTAGTTCTTGCAGGTCACAGATTTGGACAAATGGGTGTCTGTACTAAGTATGTGCAGTAGCAAGCAAAAGAGATCCAGTTTCAATACCCAGTGTAAAAGGAAGGTAGTTGTGCATATCACCAAACATTGCAAAGAGCCAGAGTAGAGGTGTGCAGAAGTGTCTGCAGGCTCCAGATTCTGCATCTTAACACAGGATCCTTCTGAACACTTTTGGGAACAACTCTCAAGAAAACTGGACTCTAATGTGCCCACCTATGGTGTTAACCAAGGTTAGGTGCCCAATCTCGTAGTCCACAAACTACCTGGTAGGGGAGGTGTAGCTCCCTGTAGGTGGAACTTGGGCCAACTCCACAGCCAGGGTCTTCTGTGTTATTTCCTAACATCCCATGACTTTTGAATGCATCATCCTACTTCTGGTACCTTCACACCCCTCCCACCGCTGCATCTGGACGCAGGTGTAAGGAGGAGGAAGGATGTAAAGGCAACAGCAGTTTATACCAAGCTTCAGGTAGTGGGCCTTGTTCTTGTTCGCAGTACATGTCTGGTATGTACTTTCACAAATTACAGCTGTGCAGTGGTATGTACCTTTAATCATCCGAGCTACCTGGGAGGTCCAGGCAGGAGGGTCATTTATGATGACAATACCATTGTTCTAGGCAACTTAAGAAACTGTCTCAAGATAAAAAGTATAGTAGAAATGGCTGGCGGTTTAGTTCAATGAGTGCTTGGTTCCATCCCCAGGACCATCAAAAATAATGAAAACACCAACAAAATCATTTTTAGACTACTGAGGACATAGTTCTTACTTAGTCTATTTGAATAGGCACATAATCTAGAAGTGCTTCTGACCTACAACAGTAGTCTTCCTCTTCCCTGGCCTGGCCAGAGCATCCAGGACAGACCCTCACTTAATATTACAGAATTTCAGATCTTTACCCAGAAATGGATTTACACTGCTTCCTGGGGTCAGTCAATCTGTCTGTTTGTCTGTCTGTCTGTCTCTCTGTATGTTTGTCACACACTCTCTCTTTCTCTCTCTCTCTCTCTCTCTCTCTCTCTCTCTCTCTGTGTGTGTGTGTGTGTGTGTGTTTCTTGTTTCCTTAAATGAGTCATAGCAGCTCTGTAGCCAGGTTTGGTAGCTGTCTTAGTTACTTTTTACTCATTGCTGAGACAAAATACCTAAAGGCCAAGTTGGGAAAGGAAAGGTTTATTTCTTACAGTTTTTGGAGGTTTCAGTCCACACTCAGTTGGCTCCAGGGCATGGCTGGGCCACAGTTCATGGTGGCTGCAAACAGCAAGCAGGAACAGGCAAAGAGCAAGACACACCTTCTCCCTGCCATTACATTGTATGGCTCCACCCCTCTGTGGGTATAGCACTGGCACCATCAATCCAAGCACTAACAATGAACCATCACAAATGCACAATACAAATACATGAAGCCTGGGGGCCCACAGACATACACCATGACATTCCTCCCCTGGCCCCCAGGACTCTTGTACATCCTTTATACAAAAGACATTTAGTCCACCACCAAGAGTTTCCAAAGTCTTAAGTTTCAGCATTGCTGCACAGACCAAGTCCCATGTCTCCTCCATGATCTATGGCAAACTCTTAACTGTAACCCCTGTACAAATGAAACAAGTTTAAACATTTCTCAAATGCAAAGGCACAAAATAAACATTACTATTCCAAAAGTTATAAGCAGGGGAATATAAAGCATTGGAAGCAAAGCAAATCCAACATCCAGCAGGACGAACATTAAGTCCTAGAGTTCCTTGCTCTGCATCTGAAGCAATCTGGTTACAAGCTCCAAAAGGCTTGCATGAATCCACCCCCAAGGCACTTCCAGGGATTTCACCTCCTGCAGCTTTTCTCTTAAATCCTCTCTGCTTGCTTTTTGGAGCTTTCCTTGGATCATCCATGTTTCTGGCTTTTCCAAACTTTTGGGGTCTCCACTGCACCTTTGGCTTCACCTTTATGTCTTCACAAATTGCCCTCTCAGGGGCACACAGCTTGGCCTCCCAGGCCCTTTGCAATAGAGGTAGAAGCCATCTTACCCTCAGAATTTGTGCATTTTCCTAGCACCTAAGATCAGCACCATGTGGATGTTACCAAGGTTTGCTGCTAGCTAGAGCAGTACTCAGGCTTTTCTCTCTCTTGGCTGTAGGGGTCAGTTGCCTGGATCACAGGGCTCTGTTTACCTGATTGTGAGGAAAAGCTTCTCTATGTTGCCACCATTCTGGAACCTCATGTGGCCTCTGTCACCATTCTGGAAACTCATGTGGTCTCTGTCGCCATTCTGGAACCTGGTGCTCTGCAGCTTTCTCCTCTGAAAAAATTCTTTTACCTTTGCAGTGAGGCTGCACAAGGTGGGGACCTGCTTCCTGGGATGCCCCCGGCCCATCTTTCTTATTTCTCTGTTTTCCCTCAGCCATCAGAATCTCAACTGTCTTTACAATCCACAGCCTTCCTGAAATATTCTTTCTGGCCAAACTCACAGTATTGCAAATTATCCCGCTGGGCTCTTTCCTCTTGATTTGCAACATAAAGCTGGCTAAAAGCCCTCTACAGTAGCCATGCCACAGACTCAACATTTGATTGCTTTTTAATTTCTTTTTCAAGATTAATCAGTCCATTGCTCTTTGTTTCAGTCTCAGGCAAAGTCTCTGGACATGAGCAAAATGTAGACAACTTTCTGCCAACCCATAACTCACATCATGGGGAGTCCAACAACCACTGCAGTCCTTCTTCCCAGCAGAAATCTCCCAGGCCTGGTCTTTACCATCAGGCTTCCTATCAGCCTTCTGGTCTCCTGAGCTGTGACCACTATCTCCTCTACAGAACTGCCTAAGCTGCTCTAGCTCTATGCATCCAGGCAACACATCCAAACCTTTCCAAACTCTGCCCACAAGCCATTTCCAAAGCCTCTTGAAAAACATGGTAAGGTATAGTCACAGCAAACAACCCCATTCTTCGGTACCAAATTCTGTCTTAGTTACTTTTTACTCATTGCTGAGACAAAATACCTGAAGCCCAAGTTTGGAAAGGAAAAGTTTATTTCTTACAGTTTTTGGAGGTTTCAGTCCACACTCAGTTGGCTCCAAGGCAGGTGGGCATGGCTGGGTCACATTTCATGGTGGCTGCAGACAGCAAGTAGGAACAGGCAAAGAGCAAGATACACTTTCTTCCTACCATTACATCATATCCTGGCTCCACTCTTATGTGGGTGTAACACTGACACCATGAATCCAAGCACTAGACAATGAACCATCACAAATGCACAATGCAAATGCATGAGGCCTGGGGGCCACAGACATAAACCATGACAGTAGCCTACTACTTCTTGTACTTAGGAGCACACTTCTGCTGATCTGTTTCTCTGTGAATAGCTTTGCTTGTTTCAACTAGAAAATTGTTGTTGTTGTTGTTGTTCTTCTTCTTCTTCTTTTTTTCTTGTTCCATCTGAGATAACACATTTGCTGCCTTCTCTGGTACAGTTACTCCCTGGTGATTGTTCCTGTAAGCTTAGCGGTAACTTAAGGAACTCTTAGTTGAAATTGTATATGAAACATTTTACTTAGGAACATAAGTTTCCAAAAGAAAGAAAAGGGGAAGAGAGACTGATTGACTGAGACTGACTAGGGTTTTTGTGTATCTGAAACACACTTGTCCTTTGTGTTCTAATGTCAGACTTACCATGCTTACAATGTTACTGTTTCACATAACTGTGTTACACAAATCACTTTTAGAGATGTTAGTATAGTAAAAGTGTGACTTGAGTCTTTAGAAATAAAGCATATATGAAAACTCTAATCACATTACGGAGTGCATGCAAGACTCACCTACCCACTTCCCTGCAGTACTGCCTTGGTATTGCATGAGTTTCTGTGCTGGTGATACATTCGGCATTGAAGGAGGTGTTGGGAACTTTGGCTGGCTAAAGAAGAGATCAATGGGTTAAAACCACAGAATGACCCAGTGACTTATCAAGTACCCGTTTACTTAAAGAGCAGTGTACAATAGAAACTGTCCTCTGTTACTTGTTTGCTGTATTAGACGATAATCTTTTTGTGGTTAAAAGTCTGCATTACAGCTGGGAGTATGAAACACATCTATAATCCAAGCACTGGGGGAGACTGGTTACACAGAGTTTGAGGCCAACCTGGACTACATACATAGCAAGACTTTGTCTCAACATTCCCCAAACCACAACCACCCCCCCAAAACACTGTTTTTTAAAGTCTCTCACAAAGTTAGGCACTGATGTCTCAACTGAGGTGTGGTTTCCTCTTCCTAGATACTGTTTCTTCATTGTTGAAGTAGGGTTTCATGTTTTCCCCTAATTGTCTTACTACCTTGGATATGAAAATTCTGCTTGAGTTTTATAAGTTGGTAGTAATTCTTCAATTCTCTGAAGTAATGGTGATTTGACTGGGAATCCAGAGAACTCTTTAGCATTTTTTATTTACTCAGGCATTCTCCATAGTATGTGTGTGACTGTCATTACAAGGATGATGTTAATAACATTAAAACTGTAGAAGATAAAAGGAACTGAGAATATGTGTTATACTTTTGAAAATGCTCAGAGACTGTTCCATTAACTTGTTGGATGTGTAACAGTGCTTCTTTAATTTGAATGTCTTCTTTTTCACAGGCCTGAGTTGCTGGAGGAAGCCCAGAGGCAAGGCTTACCATTTTCACAGTGGGACGGGCCAACCGTGGTTGAATGGATGGAGGTACATCCCTTTACTACAGAGACCTATGCTACATGACACAAGCTTGTCGGTGCATCTCCTGTCTCTGCCTGATGTTCTGGTCTTTTCATTCTTCTTTCTAGCTCTGGGTTGGGATGCCTGCTTGGTATGTGGCTGCCTGCAGAGCAAATGTGAAAAGTGGGGCCATCATGTCAGCTCTGTCAGACACACAGATCCAGCAAGAGATTGGCATCAGCCACCCTCTGCACAGACTGAAGCTGCGGCTGGCCATCCAGGAAAACTTGTGGCTCACCAGCCCTTCGGCTCCACCCACATTGAAAAAGGTATGTTCACAGAGGCTCTGTGTGCCCTCTGTGGAGGAGGAAGGCAGAGCCCACAAAAGCAGTAGCCTGCTAATGTTTCCGTGCTGCTTCCTAATCATACAGGGTGGTTTCAATTTAAAATTTCAGGAAAGCATAGTACAACCCCTAACTTGGAGGGGTTGAGGTGATCCAAAGAAAATGTGTGAACTGCTTGTGTAAAAGTGTGGTTAAAGCCAGGCGTGGTGGCACATGCCTGTAGTTCCAGCACTCAGAAGGCTGAGGTGGGAGGATCACTGTGAGTTCGAGGCCAGTGGGTTACAGTGTGAGGAGCTTGAACTGCGTAATGAGATCCCGTTTCAGAAAAGACCAAAAAATAAATAATTAAATAAATGAATAAAACTTGGTTAGAAAGGCCTTCTTTAAGAAAGACGGCTTTTTGAAAGGTAGAAAATTGATTGTCACAAATGTACGTATGAATTTGTCAAAACTGAGTAAGTGTAAGGACCTCTTGAGGAAGGAAAAGTTAACATTTTAAGTAGCATTTTATCCTTGAACTTTGATTTCTATTTCATAGTTCAAACAATAATTAGTACTTGTACTGTATATAAAGGTACTTGCTAAGCAAATTATATGCGGAAAATATTGTTTTTCTTCAAGTATACAGGTAGCAAAATATACAGATAAGCCCAGGAATGTATAAACCCTTACATACATTCTCCCGGGCATAAATAAGCACCTGGCTACGGCCCCTCGGCTACAAACGGGGTTGGGCTGCCCTTACTTTGTTGTGTGTGGCTTCTTTCCTTCAGCCTTGTGCGTGTGAGTGCATCTGCATCACTGCACATATAGGCGGGACTTACAGAGTAACTGTAATTTGTGGCAGTCCAGAGGTGCCAGTGACATACAGTTGACATGCTAACAAGGGGTGGTCACCTCCCAGAAATCCACTGGTTCCTGGACAGTTCTAAGCTTCTCTTCTTTGTGGATTTTTTTTTCCCTACAAGAACTAAAGGAGGAAAAATGCTGAGTTTCCTAGATGCACTGTGGTTGTGTGTCACGGCACCAGCCGGTGCTCTGGGTCTTGGGAGCTGCATGTGTCTGTCCAGCCATGCCTGTGCTCACAAAGATGCTGTCCACTTGGGGAGTAGTGAAGAGCCCTCAAAGAGCTTCCTGGTGACTCTTCTGATGAAACATTGGTGGTTGTTAGGAGGGAAGAGCAGGCCAGCTCTTAATTTGCAAAGTTCAGGGTTTTTTCATTTACATGTTCAATCCTCTGTGTTTGAGAGAAAACAAACTCTTAGAGCTATGTAGACATCCTTCTGAGCAGCAGAGCAAGGTCTGCCTACAGTAACTTTATACACAAAAAAGTGTGAAGATTTTGTTGTTAGAGAATTATGAAAATGAACAATAAGCCTTTTTTTTTTTTAAACGTATGGCCAAAGAACACTTTCCCTTGGTGGAATGTTTTGTAACCAGTATCAGTCTGTTCTGCAGCTATTTCCACATTAATGTGGGCTTTGTAGAAATGAAGATGTTGTGTGGCTTTTTCAAAGCTTTTAAGAACCCTCTTTCAAAAGGGAGCTTCTGTGATTCAGTTGAACTATTGGCAAGGACTAGACCTCACATCAGAAAGACTCTCCATATCACCAGTTACAAACACAGAAATTGCTGTTCTTGGGGAGCTTACAGTGGGCTAGCAGAGTGGCCATCAGTCTCAGGTTTGACTCAGATGGTGACAAGTGCTTTGTTTTTGGTGTTTGCATTGTTTGGCTCTCCTGTGGCTCACTAACTTGTGCCCTGGCCTCCTGGGCTTCCTCTGGCTTTGGATCATCTGCTGAAAGCAGCCACAGGAAGCCAAGGCCAGAGCATCCTGTTGTTAGCCTGTGTTGGGGTGAGACTGCTTTCTGTGTGTTTTGTTTTATTTTTTTGTTTTGCTCTACTGAGGCTTAAACCTAGTGCTTTGGGAGAGCCAGGCAAAAACCCTATCGTGAGCTATACCTCCAACATGGTGAGACTATTGAAAATACTGTCTATTGAATCATCAGTTACTGGGGAAAGTAACTTTTCAGAAATATAAAGTATGTTCTCATCCATACTTTTAAGCATGTGATCTGGAAATTGTGTGCTGTTCTCCTTATATTCCAACCACACTGTTAACCAGGTGTGGTTATTGTTTAAAAGAGGGTGAGCCTGTGTTAATGATCTCTGGCTTTCTCTGTGGGTGCCTGAAATGAAAATGTGCAAAGAGTGACCTTTGCCTCGTGGCTCCTTACTGTGCCTGTGGCTCATATGTGCGTCCTTCTCCTTTCTGTCACGCTTCCCTTGCCCTGGATGTGGCTGGTGCACTGGGGTCACCTTAGACCACAGGAAATGTCTGGTTAACACATGAAGAGATGGAAACACTTGCAGCCACATCTCAAGTGGTCAGTCAGCCCTGCAGCTCATGCTCCAAAGTGTGTTTCCTACTCCAGACCAAAGGGCCCTTTGCCTTTTGTTGAAAACAAAAGTTAATTTGCATTTGTTTCAAATATGATGTGTTCTTTTTAGGTTATTAGCTCATAGCGAATAGTCATATTTGCATTTTTTAGATTTTTTACAAGAATTTAGTTTATAGATTTGCCCCATTTAGAGAAGATGTAATTTGCTTCTCCTTTTGGACAGAACTCCATTGAGCACTGCGTTGTGGTTGTCTAACCCCAACAGTCTACTGTATGAGGTTAGTTGGCATGGAAAAAGTCTGCTCCTTGCATGGAAAATTGAAATTCTTGGATTTTCATGAGTTTTTGCATGAGGCATTGATATTTTGAATGTTTTTCACTCAGTCAAGGTGCATGTTCCCTGCAGAATTAATTTGCTTACACTACTAAATTTCACTAATACTAATAGTTATGTTCTTTTACATTCCTAACAACCTAACATCAGGAAGATGAGGAGGGAAGCTGGATAAGGTTGGCGTCTTTCTATAATATTTCTTCACTCTGTAGCAACGAAAAGCAATTGAGGATGTAAACTTGTGTGACCTGCTTTAGTAGGTGTTTTTCACACCTTAATTTATTCATAGTATCATTAATGACTTGAAGCATGTAATCAAAATAAATCACAGGATTAAAGATTACATCTCATGGATAATTTTGAACATTTCCCATATGGGATCATGGAAATTACTTTGAACGAAGGTTGTTTTATTTATAAATAGAATCTTTTATACAAAGTCGCCTGGTTTAGGCAACTCCTGAGTTTATGTACATGTAGTTCGTTGCTGGGTCAGTTTTGTTCTAAAATGTACTGCTGAAAAAAATCATGAAATACACTTCTAAACCTGAAAGTTGGCACGGGGCCTTTCCCTCTATGTCTTTATATTGTTATTTGACTAAGTACTGCCCTACTGTGTTGAGTTAAAGATCTTAGTAATGGAGTTCTCAGAAAGTAAGGCTTATCACTTCACAGAGATTGAATTTCAGCTGCCTAATTCTTCACTACACAGAAAGCTCTGCCCCATGTTTTACAGTGTCTGAGTCAGATGACTTGGTTAAATTCCCAGCATCCCTCTGCCCTCTTGGGTCTTTGGTGGGCACAGTGCAGTACCAGGGGACTTGTAGTTCTTCAGCTTTTCCCAGTGGCACAGTATTCGGGGGCTCAGAAGAGTTAGCATATGTCTGAAAGCAAGTATAAATGAGTGAAGATTAGAATTTGCTGATTCCAAGATGATGCTTGAAACAGTTGCTTCTGTTTGCATTTCTAAAGGTTATTCAGTTATAGCACTTGGTTGTTTGTTTTGTTTGTTCATTTGAAAAAAAGAGAGGTGGAGCTTGGTGACACATATGGGTCATCCCAGGACTTGGGAGGTTGATCAAGCATGTTTGTTGCAAATTTGAGACCAGCATAGGCTACATAGTGAGTTCAAGGTCAGCCTAAACTACATAGTAAAATCCTGTCTCAAAATTACAAAAAGTTTAGAAACAAAAACTAAGAAGAAAGAGAATAGCTACTAACTGGGTTTCCCTCCCTGGGTTTAGATACTCCCTGCCTCTAGAATCACTTAAATTCACCTAGTTAGAGGTCTCTCTACAGGACCAACAATGACCATCAGTGAATTAAGCGATGCATTTCATAATTACGTAAGTTTCAATATATTCCAAAAGACAAAGTAGAATATGGTCACCACTTCAATATGAAATAGCATCAGAGACATAAAGTGTAGTTGAATAAGCTTAACATTTGCTTTTTGCAGTGACCATATAAAAGGGGCCCATGCAGAAGATTCCAGATTTACCCCACACGCAATGTTCTGCAGAGGCTTGGTGCACTTTGCCACCATCCTTTCCCAGACAGAGCTGCTAGGACAGAGCTATGCTAGCACAAAGCATTGTGCTTTGCCCGTGCTGGCACTGGGTGGCCTCACTCCTGACTGAGCTTTGGAAGGAACACTCAAGTGTGGTCAGAACTGTTCGCATATCAGATGTAAGATATGACTGGCTGTGTAAGAAGGCTGTGCCAGCTGCCAGGAGCCATTAATGAGCAGGACAGCTGCAGTCCCACTCTCATGGAGCTCGCATTTTACTGACCTTGAGAATGAGCGTGACTTGTCCATGCTTGGAGCATGAGGTCCCTTTGCACACTTCTTCAGAAGGCTGTGGTGGCAGCCAGGGAGAGGAGGAGGCTCTCCCTCAAACTGAGTCTGAGCTGTCAGAATCTGCATTATCAGCAACTGCAAAAGTAGTAAACAGAGATATGGAGGGTTTGCTTCCGCACAGCTTTTTATTTGGAAGATTTCTTCTACTCATTAGAAGAGAGCATAGTCAGCAGGCCAGAAAACATCAAATATTCAGGCTGTGAATCCCAGGCCCATGAAAGTATGACTCAAAGGACTGCATCATGGTAACATTGTTAGGTATCTTAATGGTTACCATAGTGGTATATTTGTCACTCATCATTTAAAGAAAGTTATGAAATCTTTTCTGTTAGAATTGGAACATTCCTCTTAGCTTAGCCATCCCTTGTATCTTGACTGGAACAAATAAAATACTATAGTGGAATCCATTGTTCTAAACCAAACATGGAGGCCATGCATGGTGGTTTATGACTGTAATCCCATAACTCAGGAGGCTGAGGCTGGAAGATATCAACTTAGAGACCAGCCTGGGCCTAGTGAGACCCTGTTGTAAGGGGTTGGGGATGTAGCTCAGGTTAGAGTGCTTGCCTAGCAGGTATGAAACCCTGAGTTCAAGCCAAGAGAGGATGGATGGGAATGGATAGTTTTTATTTTAAAGGATTCCTCAATGTACCTTAGGATTCCTGTGAATGTAATTTAATCTTCCTTAGCTGGAGAGCATAATGAACCATCCTCTGTGAAGTGGTTGTATATCATGTCTATTTTTCATTGTACAGACATTGGACATATTCTGTTGAATTGGTTGCTAAGGATTTTATGCAGTTTAGTGCCATTATATAAGATACTTCTAAAATCTCAATTTCCAGTTCATTTTGTATATTTAGAAATGTTAATTTTTGTGTATTCATTGTATATTCAGCAGCTTTGCTAAATTCATGTATAAATCCTAATAGCTATTTCATAGACTTTTTCAACAATGATAATTGTGTCATTTACTAATAAAGAGAGGTTTATGTTTTTCTCAACTCATGCCATTTTTATGTTTTTCCTGCCATTACAGTGGCCAGGTCTCCAGCACAGCCAAACATAAACGGTGACAGTGGACACCCCTTGTGCTTCTTTCCGTTCAGGGAGACATTTGGTCCCTCATTGTGAGGTTTTTAGCTGCAGGCTTTTGGTAGATGACCCTTAATAGATTGAGGCGGTGGGTCTTTCGTCCTAGAATGCTGAGTTTCATAACTGAATGATGGATCTTGTGCCACATAAGGTATTATGAGACATGGCTTTCTTTGCTGATCTCGTAATTGGGCAAATTTCATTGATTTTTTTTTCCTCCTCAGTTGGTGAACCAACCTATTCCTGAGTCAGTAAACCTACTTACCATGATTCCTTATTTTTGATGTAGTGCAAACTAGTCCCAAACTCAAAATACTTTTGTCTCAGCCTCCTGAGTGCTGGGTTTACAGACATGCACCACCATACCACACCACAAAAAAGTACGTCCTGAAGCCAGATGTGATGATGCACCCCTGTAGTTGCCAAAACTCAAGAGACTGAGCCCAGAAGTTGGCTGTTATAATGTCCTATGACAAGTGGGCATTAAACTAAGATGGACATCATACTAAGAGTGGCATCAATATCTCTTTGCATAGGGAGTGCTTGTGCATAGCCCCTGCACTCAATCCTGGTAATATAATGGGAATCTCTGTCTTTAAAGGTTGTGGGGAGGGGCTGGGGATTTAGCTCAGTGTTGCAGCACCTGCCTTGCAAGCATGAGGTCCTGAGTTCAATTCCTGGTACCCTCCCCCCCAAAAAAAGAAAGGAAAAAGTTGGATAGACTATTCTGTAAGTTATATCTGGGTCAGATTGATTGACAGTATTGTTTCAGTCTGTAGCCTTCCTGATTGTTTTCCTTTTCTTAGTCCCTTTGGTTTTTTGATTGGCATATTGAACCAGTTGTTAAGAGAGGAGTGTTGAAGTCTTCTCAATTTAATTGTATTTTTCTGTTTTTGTTCTTAGTCTCATTAGTTGTTCATTTATCATTTTAAATTTACTTTTCCTGATTTTCAAATACACTTGTCATTTAGGAAGACAAAGTATTAAAAATAAAATCAAAACCAGCTAGAGCTCATTTGAATGATTTGAATTGATTCTTCAAACTTGTTCATGAGTCATGATCATTCTTTATTCCTATATTATTATATTGAAAACTAATTCAGAAAAGGAATTTATAGACAGGTATGATTTTTCTATAGCTTGGTAAATTGTCCTAAATGAGTCATAAAATTTTGCCAATATGATTTCTGTTGGATAAAACTTTAGGAATTTGAAAAGGTAGGAATGGGAGACCAAATATTTAGAAATTATGAAAAGCAATATTGTCATTCATTTAGCCTTTAAGAATGTTGCCTAGATTAAAAATCTGAACTGATGTCACTCATTTGTTGAAATCAGACACTTGCATATGGGGACATGAACCACGAGTGGATTGGCAATGAGTGGCTGCCCAGCCTGGGCCTCCCTCAGTACCGAAGCTATTTCATGGAGTGCCTTGTGGATGCTCGGATGCTGGACCACCTGACCAAGAAAGACCTGCGGGGGTGGCTGAAAATGGTCGACAGTTTTCACAGGTGAGGCAGTGCAAGTGGTTCTTCCTAACGGATCAAGAGACTTCACATTGCCACCTTTAAATAACCCCTTATTTTGTAAATAGGAACAGCTTCCAGTGTGGACTTATGTGCCTGAAAAGGTTAAATTATGATCGGAAAGAACTGGAAAGAAGAAGAGAAGAAAGTCAGGATGTAGTTAAAGGCAAGTCCATTATGCCGGATGGATGCAGCACATGCCTGCTGCCTCCCAGGCAGCCTGGGTGATTGCCTGTTTGAAAAAGTATAGCAGCCAGCTGAGCTGGCACATACCTGCAATCCTAGCACTCTGGGAGGATATAGCAGCAGAGTCACAAGCCTAGCCCAGGCAGCTTGGACTCCGTGAAACCTTCTCTCAAAATGAAAAGTATAACAGGGCTAGAGATGCAGCTCAGTGCAAATCCCTGTGTTTATTCCTGAGTACCTCAAAAAGAAATCAAGGGCTTAGTGATAAGGCACTTGCTTACCACTTGCATTGCCCTGGATTTGATCCCTAGGACTGAAAAAAAAAAAGCACAAAATAATCATACATTTATCTGGGAATTACACAAATTACAGTTCCAGCTACTAAGAATACTAAGGCAGGAAGATCACAAATTCAGGGCCGACCTGGCAATTTAGTGAGACCCTGTCTCAGAAACTAAAACTAGATTTGAAAATTAGGGGTGCTAAGAATGTAGTTCAGTGAAAAAAGACTTGCCTAGCATGCTCAGGGCTCTGGCTTCTGTCTCTAGTACCACAAAAAAATAAATCAGGGAAGACTTTTAAGTGGAAACAACTGGCTTGGCATGATAACAAGAGGAGGGATGAAAAGGGTTGCCCTGAGACAGTGTGTGCTTATCTCAGTCTGTAGGCTACCCTCTTGGGGCTGGCACTATTTCATGTAGTTTTCCTTTTGTTGTTGTACACTGTATACGCTCTCTCAGAGATGCTGCCTTATGCTATTAGATCAGAGCAAGGCAAACAAGCCACTGCCTTTTGCTTACTGGATAGAGGTCAAAACTACAGCTTTGGGAGCTTTTTCTAAGGCCTGTGGCAGCATGCAGGGCACACAGTTCTGCTCCCAGAGGGAGGGAGAGGTCAAGGCAACCAATAGCCTAGCACCCATAATTTTGTAATTTATTTATTTATTTTGAGACAGAATTTCACTAAGTAGCCTGGTCTGGGATTACACCTGTGATCTCCTGCCACAGCACCCATACTAACTGGGATTGCAGTCCTTACAGAAACCACACAGTGTCCTGTGGGCAAAGGAAAGACATGTCAGAAACAGGCCAGGAGGTAGGAGAGGGCATGACAGCCCCCTCAGTATGACAGGGACAGGCATTTTCTCTGAAGACAACACTGAATGTCATGCTCACGAGAGTCTCTCAGAATTCTCGGTAGTTACTAATAGCACTGCAGTGATGAGAAGAAATGAGACTTACTGAATAATGATCAAGCACTGTGTCAAGTCTTCCATAGTTGATTCATTCAGGCTGCATCGTGGTTCTGTTATTTTCATCCTCATTCTGATGTCTTTTTCTAAATAAAATAAAGGATTATCTATTGGCCAGGGATGTAGCCCTGTGGTAGGACACTTGCCTAGCCTGTGCAAGGCCTGGGTTTTAATTCTTTTAAAACAAAGAATACGTTGAGGTCTATTTAGAAAAGAAAGTCATGGCCGGGGATATAGCTCAACAACACAGCGGCTGCCTGGCGAGTGCAAGGTCATGAGTTTGATCCCTGGTACCAAAACAAAGTTGAGAAAAAAAATCAGACATGAAATGTATTAATACATTTAATTTGTTTTCTATATCCCCTCTCCATATTTTGTCAGTTGACAAAAGCAGTCTTTGAAAAGATTGGTGGTCAGGTATATTTTTACAGAGTGGCAATTTTTTGGTCTGTAATAGAATACATTTAATAATTATCTTTGTATGATATAAGATTGCCAAAATCTAGTATGCTGGAATGTCTTTAAAATTCTTTCTTTGTAATATATTAAGATGTTGATATGACCAAAGCTTCAGAAGCACAGGGGCTGGGGTATGGCTCAGTGGCTTAGCACCTACCTGGTAAGCACAAGGCTCTGAGTTTGATTCCCAGTACCACAACAAGAAAAAGTAAAAGAAAACGAAGGTCAGAAGGTCAGAAGCAAAGAGTTTGTGTTGAACTCAGCAAGGTATCTGAACTGTCATGGTATCTGCCCCTTTCATGATGGAGAAGCATTTCAGGAGACTCTGGGGTCTGTGTAGGAAACATGCTTATACGTGCTAGGTCTGACTCTGACCCTCAGCCTGATGGCTTTTGCAGTCTTAGGATTGAACCCCAGGCCTTGTACATACTAGGCAAGTGATCTGCGACCAAGCTACATCCTCAGCCAATCATGCTGTATTGTTCCCTGAATATATCCTATCCACAATCTTACTGTGACACCTGAGTGCCCTAGGGGAGGCTTCTAAAGGGAACGTTTTTATTAGAATGAGGCAGAACCAAAACAGCTGTGTCTAGGTGTGTGTCTGTCAGTATTTGTGAGTGTGGAGTCCATTTTCAGGAACTGAGGGATCAAGATCCATGCTAGGAATCTTTCCCCTGCATTGCAGGACATGTATGATGAAGAGGTTTTCTGAAGCCACATTTACAGTTGTTTTGTTCTTTCACAGATGTGCTTGTTTGGAGCAATGATCGAGTGATTCGCTGGGTCATATCCATTGGCCTTAAAGAATATGCAAACAACCTCATAGAGAGTGGGGTTCATGGCGCACAGCTGGCCTTAGATGAAGCCTTCGATTACAACACATTGGCCCTGTTGTTACAGATCCCGATAGAGAACAGAAAGGTGACAACGGAGTCTGTGCCTCTGTCTGCTTAGCCACAGTGTTTGGTTTTTCTGTGGTTCTAGAATACTTATTTTTCATTTGAATGGAGAGAAAATTTAACTCTAGACAACTAGTAATCACTTTCCATAACTAATCTATAATATGGTAGTTCAAAATAAGCAAATGCTTGATTTTTCACTATCTTTTCTTTCCAGTTTGTGTTGCAAGCATGTGAGTCTTTGAAGTCTTTGTTTTAAAAAATTGTAATGTGTAACATCCTTCAGATATATTTAGTTGTTGTTTTGTTACTTCAGGCTCGAAATGTCTTGGACAGAGAATTTGCCGACCTTTTGGTCCTTGGGACTGTCAGACGTTTTGATGTTGTAAGTTTTCAGCTTTTTTCTCCTCTCACTGCTAGGAATCAACCTCAGGGCTTCACATATGCCAGTTGAGTGCTCTACTACTGATCCTTGCTCTTGGTCCACTACTTAATTTTTGGCAACCTTCAAAAATTATTTCTATATTGTCAAACAGATTGCAGCCTGCGATCAAAGTCTTAAGTTGTGTTTTGGTGACAGCTGACTGTCCTGCCCCAGTTCTTGTGTTTGGAAGGTTTCTTTCAAAAGTATATTAAATTTCCCCTCATGCTAAATCATAACTCACCTGTTGCCATACATTACGATTGTCTTCAGTGAGCTCCAAGAGTACTTGATTTTCACAAAGAAGATGGAAGCTGAATCTGGAAGCAAAGCATTTGTTGGATTATTTGTAGCCGGAATATTTTGAAAATAAATAAAAGTACATTATATAGCAGGCAAGAGCTTGTCCACAGTAAGAAATAAAATATTCTGATGGGTGAGAAAATCACATCCCTGGTGCCCAGGACTGCCCTCGTTTCTCCAGTTGGGGCCCAGCAGGAATGTAATCATGCTTCCTCTCACACTGAAGTTCCAGTGTGTGCAGCACATTGGAAGGTCACCAGGAAAGGCTAAGTAAAGCAAAACAGTCAGGGGTTTAGGAGTCCTTCTGAAGGACAGTTATCTTTATTAGACTGTGCCTGTTCTGTGTTTTCATTTGCCAGGAGGATGACAAACACTTTAGGAGAGCACCTTCATGGAGAGAGAAGTTTAGAGAAAAGGCCATTCGCGGCGTGGCACCTGGGTCATCAGAGACACTCCCTGCAAACTTCCAAGTCTCTTCTTCCAAGTCTTTCTGCTCTATGCAGCCAAATAAGATCCAGATGGATGGTATGTGGTGGGCCATGTAACGCAACACTGGCTGGGAGCATGTGCACGCTAATAATTACCTAGAGTGGCCATTGTATGTGTTACAAAGCATCTGAGTTTGGTTGCATGCCCAGGTGTCAATGGTTCAGAATTAGCCCTAACATTTGTTGGAAAATGGTTAACAACAATAATAGAATTTTAAAAAAATCTGTCTGGTTGAACCTTAGCATCCTTGCCCAACTAATAAAGTGGAGCACCCATCTGTGCTCTCAGGGCTGAGGCTGATGCACCTGTGGGGTGCAGTGTGTGGCAGGGAGCACTGGCTTGCCAGGAAAATTGCAGTGTGACACTTGGGACTTCTCTCCACACCAGAAGAAATGGCGGAGTAAACTTTAGCTCACAACTTCCAGCTTCTGCCAACTCTGTCTTTCCTTTTCCCTTCCCTCCAGTGTTATCTTTCCATATACTTACCTTATGCCACCTGAAGAGGGACAGGGAAGAAGGCAGAAGCCTTGTGGAGACCGCTAGGGCAGCCCTGCTGCCTTCTCAGTGAGAGATGGCAAGACATTGACCTTTCCAGTGCAGTCGGGATGGCCCTTATGTAACTGCTGACTGAAGAGTGCAGTTGGCTGAGAGGAGACCTTGAGTCCCTGACAGTCCTGCCCACCTAGTAAAAGGCACTGCATAGGGTCCTGAGAGAGCCCACATCCACATCCAGCTCTTGTGATAGCAGGGACATGACCTTGAGCAAGTCATGCAGCTGTGCTGTGCCTCAGTTTCCATATCTGTAACTTGGGCATCATAGTAATGTGATTTTGATGCTTCAATGTGTCATGTGGGTGAAGCTGATGGAGTCCTGAGCCTCGTGCATTGCTGACAATCTCAGTGTTAGGTGGAGACTTCATTCCTTCTCATTCCTGATGTACATGGTTGTGCTGTATAAACTGTACCAGTGGGGTTGTTACAAGTTTCCTGTTGTTAGCCCCCTGTGTAGGTAGTTTTCCTTTTTTCTCTTTCTTGCCTGTATGAAAATCAGAGAAAAATACATTTATATAAACCTTTTAAAGCTGAACACTTTCCAGTGTGTCTTTTAACTAGTAAGTTCTTAAGAATTAACACTTTCTCCCTCAAGGTGTCTTACAAATGTTGGCAAGGCATGGAAGTGCATGCCTGTAATTCCAGTACTTGGGAGGCTGAGGCAGGAAAATCATGAGTCTTGAGATGTATGAGTCATAAAACCAGGTTAAGGCTATACTGAGCTACATAGGAAGACCTTGTATCATAAATAAAATAGATAAGTAAGTAAGCTGTGACGGGCCTTGACCTTAATTTCCATTGGCTTACTAAATATTCTAAATGAGTACTCTGTTGTTTTCCCTGTACCTTCAATTTCTGTTTCACAATAAGAATCACATTTTCTCTCTGAACATCGCAAGCAATATTAACATAGCTGGGTGTGGCGATCACCTGTAATCCCAGCGCTGGGGAGGCTAAGGCAGGAAGGTTGCTGAGAGCTCAGTACCAGCCTTGAATTCACAGGGATTGTAGGGCCAGTGTGAACTAACAGGGAGACCTTGTTTCAACAAAACAAAACAAAATAAAGGGTAGTATTAATGAGTTTGTTTGTTGTTGATTTGTTTTTGTTGGAGGCATTTTTGTGGTTGTGGTTGTTGTTTTGGGGTTTGGGGTGGTACTGGGGAGGGAGCCTTCTTCCTGCACTACACACCACCCCAGATAGGGTCTTGTTAAATTGTCCAGGCCTGGTTTGAACTTGGAGTTTTCCTGCCTCAACCTCCCAGAGTGCTAGGATTACAGGCATGTGCAGGCAAACTGTGTAACACTAAATTTAAATGGATTGAACAGAAAAAGTTGTCAGGGTAAATTACATAGAAGAAGCCTATGCCACATTGGTAAGAAGGTGGACTGTTACAAATGACTTGCGAGGTGGAGAGTATAAGATAAATTACAGCAGGTCTCCTAGACTTTAGAATGAAGGTTTACAATGACTGCCCAGTCTTACCAACACGGTCAGCTATCTGTCTTTCCTAGAGCTATGACAAGATGTTGCTAAGAAGTATTCCTGGTATACTTGCAGGAAAACAAAACACTGTACAACTGGGAGTGTAAATATCTGCAGAAGATGTTGCAAGCTCTTTACCCAGTTTGTGACAGGCTGTACTGCCTGTTTAGCCACCCAGTATTTGTCAAACAAGGACCCCTGCCTCCCTGTTCTCCATCCTTTTTTGTAGAAACTGAGACAAGCTTTAGTCTTCTGAGAAGCACTGGCCATGGCCTCTGGGCTGTGCCTCTTTGCCTGCAACCCACCCTGAGAGCAGTGCCTGCAGAGCAGCTGGGGTTCCCTCCTCCCCTTCGTGCTGCTGATTCACCCCATTCATTCCTGGAGGTCTAGCTGTAGGGCACAAGGAAAAGTCCAGTTGCTATATCAAAGTGTGGCTTAAGGAGCTGCAGAGTAGCTATGTTAGGTGGTTGTCCTTTCTGTATGTGCACACTGAGGTGGTTTGCACTTCCAAGGGGCCCTATTGCTGTTTTAGGTGCCAGTGTCCCCTTGGGTGGTGACAGAACCACTCTGGGCAGCCCTCTGATGCTCTTGCCATGGCTCCTTCCTCACTCTCCCAGGCAGTCTTAGGATTCCTCAGTAGGCACCATGGTAGGTGTGGAGATGTGTGTCTTACCTGTGCCCTGTGTGAAGTGTTAAAACTAACAGCACTTTGTTTTTGCACACTTCCTCTCATGGTTGTTGGAACAGGCAGTGTATCAGGAACACAGAAGTTGGATTCTGCGACAGTCAGGACTTCCTCCTGCTAAAGCCTCCTGTTGGTGAGTAGAGAGCAGCGTAATCCCTGGAGATCATCCCTGTACAGCAGGGCGAAGCTGTAACAGGGCTAACAGTGTGGGTTTAGACCATGACAATTTACATGGGGAACTTTAAAATGACAGAAATATTAGCTCTGTACCCATCAAGGCGATTTTGGTTTTTAGCTGACCATAAAGGGGGCTGTGTGTCATTTTTGTTCTGTTAACTTTTATTTTTATTAGTAAGTTAGTTGTACTTAAATTCATCATGGAGAATTGGTACCTGTACTAGGACATCTTAAATCTTTTTACCTCCCCTCTCCTGTCTCCCTTGTGTCTCCAGTTTTAAAGAAAAACACGTTCGTTCCCATTTTTTCCTAAAAGCTAAAAATGCCTACTCACTTGAAGTGATGATCTGCTGATGCCATTGTCGGGGGGCGGGCAGGAAAGCAGCAGCTGAGGAAAAAAGCACCCCAAAAGCTGAACACACCAGAAGGCCAGGGCCTGATATTGGGAAGCATCTCTTCCACTGTGTTTATACACAGTGGTACACAGCTCCTATACTGGCTTTGTTACAAACACATATGTACGCACACATATATGGGGAACTGAACCCAGAGTGTTTCCACTGTGCTGTATCCCTAGCACCCCATCCCCTTTTTAGTGGGGACAGGGTCTTCCTAGATCATCTAGTCCTTGCTCAAACTTGCAATCTTTCTGCCTCAGCCTTCTGGCATACGGGATTGCAGACGTGCCACCATACATGGCAGACATTTTAAACATAAAGCTGCATTGCCACGCCTGGGTGCCAGTGACCCACTTGTGCCTCATGGTCTAGAGCTTTGACTGATGATGGCAGAGGTGTCATTGACCCGTGATCAGAACCCCAGCTGGAGCTCTGCCTACTGTGCTTGTGTTCAGTGCCTCAGCTGGAATCTGAGATCGGCTCCATAGTCTTTTAACTTTAACTTTTAAAACTGTCACAAAATGTAGGACCTCTCTAGTCCATGAGCAGGGTCCTCAGTGTTCTGCCTGCTGACGCTCCAGCAGGGAGGAGGCAGGAGGCCTGGGGAAGTGAGCCCCACCGTGTGTGTCTGAAGTCATGGTCCTTTTCGAGATGGTTTGTGTTAAGAGAGGCTTTCTGTTTGTTTTTATCTTCCAGTTTTCCCGCACTACTTCTACAGATGATATCAGCATTTTGAATCCAACAGAGACTACATTTTTGAATTCAGTCGAATCGCTATCTATTAATACTTGTTATATGGACTCCTAAGATATTTTATAACAGAGTTTTTAATTAGTGAAAAATTCATGAATACCATAGAGAAAATATTTTAGAATTTAATGTTTCTTATATTTTTGTAAACTTAGGACTTTTCATTTATATAGTTAGTCACTTTTTCAAGTATGTTTAGGCTATAAATGTCTCTGGAAGCAATTCATTTTCTTACACCTAATTTTAGTCTTTCAAATGAATGTACTGTAATGCTTGTATGTATAAACCCTATGAACAAATACAGGGTTTTTGTAAATTGTGCACATATTGTAATTATTGCTGTTTAAGTTTTTAATGATAAGCCATCAATGAAAAATTAGTTTACTACATTTTTTTTGTCTTTTTTGTTTTTATCAGTACCAGGGATTGAACTCACGACTGTCTGCTTGCAAGGCAGGTGCTTATGCCGCTGAGCTAAATCCCCAGCCCAGTTTACTACATTTATAAAATTGTTGTGACATTAGCAATGTGCATTATCCTTCACCTTGGTCTACATCAGTCATTTTAAAATCAGTAGACTTCATTCCAAGCAGTTGTCATATTTTGAGGTTGACTGACCTTAACTGTCCTTTTTTTAGCAAGAAATCAGAGTCTAATAAAGTCCAGACTGAACCGTTGCACCAGAGCACTATAGAACTTTCTTAGCACTGGTTCCCTTTTCCCCATCCTGTCTCTGGACTTGGGGAGCTTGTCTTCAGAGACTTGACCAGAAGCCATGAGCTTGGAGCTGCTCTCAGCAGGGCTGGAGTGGCCAGGGGTGGACCCCAGCCTGGCACCTTCCCTGCCTCTTTCCTGTGAGCATGTGGAAGGTGCCTCCAGCTATTCTTAGAGGACCAATCACTGAGCATTGTGCTCACATCTCACAGACATTGGTGCATGAGCAGATGAAAGCAGGAAACCCTGAAAATAAAGTTGTACAACTCTAACTAATGAAGGCCTTATTTTTCATATGTGAGTCACCTTTTTACATTGGTTTATAAACATGTTTCAACTAGTCATACATTTTTAGATTTTGATGACATAGCCATTTTGGACTGAACAAGTAGCAAATGTAACTTGCTTTTCACTGGCATATTAAAAAGCCAGCAAGGAAGGAGTCAGATCAGGGTGCATGTTATTTATTGTGCAACTGATACATAGGTAGAGGCAGCATGCCTTTTTAATTTAGTTTATGCATACAGTTCACTTGTACAATCCATATTACTGCCCTTTTTCTATTAATTTTTGTGGAACTTTCTGAGTAAGTAACAAAGTATACAGTCATATACACATATATACTTTTGAACTATTTTAATCACAGTATTATTTATTGCTTTCTTCCAATAAAGTTCTGAAACATTTTTCACTGCCAATGAAGAGTTCTTTGAATAGGCCATGATTTTGTTAAAAGTTAAGTGCAGCTGAATTGTGTGTGTGTGTGTGTGTGTGTGTGTGTGTGTGTGTGTGTTACTGGACATTGAACTCATAACCTCACGCTTGCCAGGCAGGCACTCATGACACTGAGCTAAATCCCTGGCCCAAACACAGCTGTTTTGCTTCCTGCTCCTGGCAGGTTCTCTGAAGGTAGTGTCGCTATGGAAATCACCAGACAGAAAGCTGGATGACATAAGTGTACCTGGGCATGAGGCAAGAGAAGACAGGGTCCTGCTGAAGATTGGGTCTGGTTAGACCAGGGCGGGGAGGCGCCCCCAGCACAGTTGGGGGTGGGACACTGACAAGCTCAGCTTTGCCTGCTGTGTCAGGCCCTTTGTTCGCGCCGTGTTACCCTCCTGTTTTCAAGTTTCACATGGCGCATCTCAGAGTAATCATGGGTTTGAGCTTTTGGTTCTTGGCCTTTTTCCCTGCAAACTGTGTGTTTTTGAATGGGGTTTGCAGAGCAGAGAGAAGAGGCCAGACTCTCCCACATTCCTTGGTGTGTCCCTGGGTGTTGGGTGGGTAGATGGTCCATATCCTAGTGCTATTGCTGCTGCTATTCTGGACACCCACATATCACTTATTGCATTTCAAATATCCCACATGCATTTATGTCTCATTTCCCGGCCTTAATTCCCTGGTGACAATGATTAGTCATTTTGCCTTCCAGTCATCTCTCATATTCCATGAGGGAATTTACCGCAAGGATCCCAAGAGCCATGGCTGCTGGGGCCCTTGTAGAAAATACATCATATTTGTAGAACCTGCATGTGTCCTTGAATAGATGCTTTGCGTTCTCTCTGGATAACTTACACTTAATACAGTGGCAATGCTGTGGGAATAGTAGTTTGCTCTTTAGGAGATACAAGAAAACACATTTGCATGTATTCAGTACAGACACAACTCCCCTCACCCTGGTGCTGGAGGTGGAGCCCAAGGCCTTCACACTAAGCTCTGTCCCCGGCCCTTTGTATTTTGAGGTGGTCTCAGTAAGTTGCTAAATTGTGTAGGCTGGACTTAAACCTCAGCCTCACAGTGCTGGAAGTGCAAGCACACATTACCAAACCAATTCAGATGCAGATTTTTAAAGAAATATTCTCAGTCTGCAGTTGGTTGACTCCTTGGATGTAGAACCCACGAGTACAAAGGACCCGTGGTGCTACTTGAGGACAGTTTTTCAGACCCGTGACACCTGACAGAGCAGGAACACACAGTGGGCAGAGGTAGCCGTAGGAAGCAAGCAGTTCCTCTGGGAAGTCCTGGAGAGTCCTCACCTCTACAGCTTGCAGGGGTAGCTCTCAGGGGTGCCTTGGGTCACCTCCACTCAGCCCCGCCTGGGCTGCTCCCAGATGGAGGGTCTGAAATCTGCTCACACTGTTTGGCAGTTTGTTCAATTCAGGCATCCTATCGTCCTCTAGGAAACCACATGTGAACTGTTCTCACGCCTCAAGGACCCCAGTGAAAATCATCCGGTGTTACATGAGAGCCTTACTTTTGCCCCGTGACCATTTGGCAACAGCTCCCTGTGATTTGATTATAAATACTTAGACATCTCACCCTTCCCTTTCAGAGGAGGCCAACAGGAAAGCACAGGCCTTTACTCTTAATGGGGGCAGTTGAGTTGATGACCTGAGACTGTCCTATAGTCCACATTCTCATCTTCAGGTAGACAGAAGTCTCTCATAAAGTGATATAACAGTACTGTAGCATTTCAAAAGCTATAGAGCTGAAGAGATGTTAATCACTAAGGCTTCAGCCCTTTCTGGAGTGTGTGTGTGTGTGTGTGTGTGTGTTTGTGTATGTGTGTGTGAGTGAGTGTTACAAGGTACACAAGTACAGTACTGCTGAGCTCTACTCCCAACTCCATTTTTCTAAAAGTAAAACATGAACATCATTTGCCTTCTCTTCCCGCCTCCTCCTCACTCATGGAGAACTGTTTGGAATCTTTATTGTGTTACTCACTCCTGTGTGTGTTCAGTGTTCTCTCCGAATTTGCCCACTAGTCCTGTCTTTGGCTTCTCTTTGTGATCTATGAAAATTTTAGCATGCAGCACACTTCCATCTCCTCCCAGCAGCAGTAAGTCAAAACGGAATCTGTATCCACTACTTTGGGTATTCAGGCTATAAATGTTTATTTCTAGATATTTGAGGGACTGCACCATACAGGCCCTTTACAGGCTATATTTCCACTGCTGAGGTCCTAACAGGTGAGATCATGTGATGTCCAGAGTGACAGCTCAGGACATAGATGAAACAAAATCACGTGTGCTGGTGACAGTTGAAGTCAGGTGAGATCTGTGAGGATTTGTCTTTTTTGTTGTTTTCTGGGACAGGGTTTCACTGCGTAGCCAGGCTGGGTCTCATTCCTCAGTCTTCCGAGTGCTGTGATTACAGCCGTGTGCCACCATGCCCACCTTTATTAGACTGCTTTTGAGTATGGAATTTTCTGTAATGAAATACAAATAGTATCTCAGGGAAACCCCTCTAGTATAAATTTAGTCTTTAGATTTCTGCAAGTACTGCTTCTTGCCTTCACTCTTAAAAGACTCCATCCTGTACCAGGAATGTTTACATCACAGCCCGGTGCGTACCCCCTACATTTCATAAATCCTATCATGATTGTATTCTTTAATGTGTTTCTGTCTGAAAGTTGGATGCTACATACCAGGAAAGACATTCTGCACTTGAGAAGCCACATGAAGACATCCGTCCTACTGTGGGCTGCAAATTCTTGGCCTCTCTGCTCAATGAAAGTGGAGTCAATTCTCTCCTGACTTGGATTGTTTTTTTCAAATCCATCTTATTTCAAGGAGAAAAAACCCTCAAAATTTCAAAAGACATTAATCAGGAGGCAACAGTGATACATACATGGTTCATTGTCATCCCCAAATCATTCACCCAGAGCCCAAGAAATCTGCAATCAGTTGTCCAAACATTACCAGCACAAATCTTTCTCTTCAGTGAACTCAGGAGAAATCAGTAGTAGAACTATTTTAACTACTTTTTGCATACATATACATATGTTGTTTTAGCTTTTCACACTGAACAATATGATGTTTACACACGTGTGTCTTATTTTGCTTATGAATATGATCTCAAGTTACATCCATTTGACTATAAAAGTCTCCAGTTTATCCTTCTTTCTGACTTTATACTCCATTGTATAAAAATACTACATCTTGTTTCCATTCCCCAGAGGATGGGCATTTTTGTTGTTTCCAAGATCTGTCTATTAAAAATTGTGCTGCTATAAACATGAGTACAGATATATCACTGTAGTATGATGTTCTTTTGGGAAGATGCCCAGAAGGGGAATAGCTGGGCCATATGGGACCTCAGATCCTAGTTTTTTGAAGAATCTCCACCCTGATTTTCAAAGTGGTTGCACCAGTCTGCATTTCCAACAGCAGTGGAGAAAAAGGATTCCTTTTTCCCACAACCCCTCCAGCATTTGTGTTTGCTTGAATTCTTGGCAATAGTCATTCTTTCTGGGGTGAGATGGAATCTCAGTGTTGTTTTAATTTGTATCTCTCAAATGAGCAGTGATGTTGAACATTTTTTTCACATATTTGTTTGCTGTTTGTATTTCTTCATCTGAGAAGTGTGTATTCATCTCAGATGCGCATTTTCGGATTGGGTCTTCAAATCTGGGAGGACTAATATTTTTTCTTTAGTTCTTTATATGTTCTTGATATTACTATCCTTTGAGGTACAACTGGCAAACATTTTCTCCCTTGTTGTGAGTTGCCTCTTCACTGTGTTGGTGGTTTGTCTTGGTTTGCAAAAGCTTTTCAATAGGGTGAGATCCCAGTTGTTTATTCTTTGTGATAGTTCCTGTGCAATCTGGGTTTTGTTCATAAAGTTTTTGCCTGCACAATGTCTTCAAGAGTTTTACCGACTCTCTCTTCTAGCAGATTTAATGTTTCTGTTTTAATATTCAGATCTTTGGTCCATTCTAGTTTTAGCTTAGAACCTGGTAAAAGATACGGTCCAGTTTTAATCTTTGGCAGGTATAGAGCCACTTTTTCCAGCACCATTTATTAAAGGGGCTATCTTTCTTCCAGTGTATGTGTTTGGCACCTTTGATAAGATAAGGTGGCGCAGTGTGTCTGGAGTTGTTTCTGGTTTTTCTAATATGTTCTACTGATTTTCAGGTGTGATTTTTGTGTGTGTGTCTGTGTGTGTTTGTTGTTGTTGTTTGCCAATACCGTACTTTTTGTCACAGTAGCATTATCTATAATTTCAAGTCAGGGATTGTGATGCCCCTGTCTTGTCTCCATGCTGAGGAGTGACTTTGCTATTCTATAGCTTTTCTAGTTCCAGATGAATTTTAGGATTGTTTTCTCTACTTCTGTGAGATATGCTCTTAGGATTTTGATTGGAATTGCATTGAATCTGAATAACAGTTTTGGAAGAGTGGCAATTTTCACTATATTGGTTCTTTCTACCCAAGAGCACAGGATATCTCTCCCTTTCGAATATCCTCTTCAATCTCTTTTTCAGAGTTCAGTAGTTTTCAATGTAGAGGTCTTTTACATCTTTTGTTAGATTAATTCCTAGGTATTTCTTTTTTTTTTTTTCTTGGACGTTATTGTGAAAGATATTGTTTCCCTGATTTCTCTCTCAGTGAGTACAGGAAGGCTATTGATTTTTGAGCGTTGACTTTGTAACCAGCTACACTACTGAATTTGTTTATTAAATCTAGTAGTCTTTTGGAGGAGTGTTTGGTGTCTTCTATGTCATCTGCAAATAACCACAATTTAACTTTTTGTTTTTCTATCTCTATTCTTTTTGTTTCTTTCTCTTTTCTAATTCTTTCAGCTGAAATTTCCAGGACTATATTGAATAAGAGTGGAGACAGTGGACATCCTGGGCTTTTTTAGAGAAAAAGCTTTCATTTTTTGTCCATTTAGTATGATGTGGGCTGTTGGTTTGTCATTGATGGTTTTTATCAGATTGAGATAAAGACCATGTATTCTGATTTGCTGTAGGGCTCTTATCCTGAATGGCTGCTGGACTTTGTCAAAAGCTTTTCTTGCATCTGTTGAGATGATCATGTGAGTTTTGTCCTTGGCTCTGTTAATGTGGTGTATTACACTTATGGATTTAAGTATGGTGACCCATTCCCATATCCCTGGGATGAATCCCACTTGATCATGGTGTACAGTCTTCTTGATGACTTGCTGCAGTCTGTTTGCCAGTATGTTATTGAGGATTTTTGCATCAATGTTCATTAGGGAGATGGGCCTAGAATTCTTTTAATTTGGGTATGAGGTAATGCTTGCTGCCAGGAATGAATTTGGGAATCTTGCTTTCCTTTCAATGTCATTAAAGAGTTTGAAGTAGTAGTAACATTAGGTTTTCTGTAAATTTCTTGTAGCATTCCATAGTGAATCTGTCAGGCCTAGGCTTTTCTTTGTTGACAAATTTTTAATTACCTCTTTGATGTTATTTATTTATATTGGGCTATTTAGGATTTTTATATCTTCTTGATTCAGCTTTGATAATTCATATGCATCTAGGAATCTCTCCATTTCTTCTGAATTTTCCATCTTATTAGAATACAAGTTTTCCAGGTAGGTATACATGTTTTTCTGCATTTCTTCAGTCTGTTGTGATTTCACGCTTTTCTTTCCTAATTGTATGGATTTTAGTCTTTTCTTAACTTATTTTGATAAGGTTGGCTAAGGTTTTGTCAGTTTTATTTAATCTTTCAAATAACCAGCTCTTTGATTCGTTGATTCCTTGTATTGTATTTTTTAGTCTCCAGTGTGTTAATTTCTGCTCTGATCTTTGTAGTTTCCTCCTACATACAAGCTTTTGGCTTGGCCTGCTCTTCTTTTTCTAGAAATTTGAGGTTTAGCATTGAATTGTTTCTATACGCTAGCTCTATTTTCCTGATATTTTTATTTATTGCTATAAATTTCCCTTTTAAGAATGCTTTTATTGTTTCCTACAAGCTCTGGTATGTTGTATTGTTGTTATCATTCAACTGTAGAAACGGTCTAATTTCTTCTCTAATTTCATCTGTGACCCATTGGTTGTCAGTAGGGTGCTCTTAATTTCCATGTGTTTATGAAGTTCTTGTGGTTTCCTTGGCATGGATTTCCAATTTCATTGCACTGTGGTCTGAGAGTATGCATAGGATAATTTCAAATCCCTTGTATTTATTTAAGTATATTCTATGAGCCAGTATGTGGAAAACATCCCATTGGTAGCTAAAAAGACTGTATATTCTGATGTGGTGGAGCAAAACACTATAGACATCTACTAAGTCCATTTGTTCAAAAGTTTGATATAGTACTAATATTTCATTACTGATTTTGTGTGTTTTTTTTTTTTTTGTCTAGTTGATCTGTGTTTTTGTCACAGTAGAGTACTGAGGTCTCCCAGTACCATTGTATTAGGGCCTATTTGATTTTTCATGTTTGTTAGTAATTGTTTTACATAGTTGGGTGAACTGTTATGTGTGCATATATATTTATGATTATCTCTTCCTCTTGGTTATTCCCTTTACAAGGGATATAGTGAGCTTTCTCTCTGTTAATCAGTCTTGGCTTGAAATTCACTTTATCTGCAAAGAGAATAGCTATCCCTGCTTTTTTCTAGGATCCTGTTGCATGGAGAATTGTTTTACTTCTGTAATGGAGTAACTAATGGTCCACTTGTAACACCTGATTGAACTGAGTGTCTAGTGCTGGATGTGGAAGGCCCATCTGAGTTGTTGCCAGCAGCATAAACGGAGAACTGGAAAGGAACAGCTGGCGCTGTTGATCTCAGAGAAGCTTGTTGGGCTGATTTTTCTGATACAAACTCTGCTGTTAGGATCAGAAGAGCTTGGGACCTGGCTATGGCTGAGGACAACTATAATTCTCTTTGGGGAAACTCTGGTACTCAGTTTGAGCATCATTTCCTGGCTCCAGTGCAGATCCCTCAGCCTGCTGGCACAGACTTTCTAGCTTCCACCCCTAACTTTGGGCCTTCTCAGTGCATATCCTTGATAGAATTTTATGAGACATTGTGGTGGGCTCTAGGCTTCCATTTGGACTTGTGGAGGATATTGCTATGGGCTCAGGGTCTTCAACTTGACTCATATAAACATTGCCTTGGGATCCAGACCCCCATCCTTGTGTCTCTAGTATGTGCACAAATCTCCTGCACGCTTGCATTTGACTCTTTGGGTGACTACTATAAAATAATCCTATAAATTATTTGTCCTGAATTAAACCCATTCCCTTGTAAACTGTGATTCCAATATTTCCTAAAATTTGGACTGGGTTTAGGGATTTGCTTAAGCAAAAGAATATAATATGCTGAGATCAGTGGCATGTGCCTGTTATCCCAACCTCTCTGGAGCCTGGACACTTAGCTTTACCGTGGGCAGCTTGGGCAATTTAGTATTCCCTGACTCAAAAAATAAAGGCCTGGAAATGCAGCTCAGTGGTAGAATACATGTATATGGCAGATGCAGTGCTTCAAAACTTCTGAAGCTACATCCTGAGACTGCAGCTTCCACCTGGGCTTTGTGAAATTCTTGCTGTGAAGGAATAGGCCACCAAGTAAGAAGCCCACTCTCCATAGCCTCTGTGCTGAAAGGAAGCCTGTACTAGTCACATGTAAACTGTGGAGAGGGAGTGGTGTCTGGTGGCCATCTGCAGCTGGAATAGCCATCCTCTAGGCTAGCTGTCATTCACATTGGTGAGGAACCTAAAAAACATGCCTGCCCCAGAGATATTATGGAGAAAGAAAACCACAGCACTTCTCCCACAGTCAGGACCAAAGCCCCAGCCATCCCCAACCAAGAGAGCTTCCCTGCATGGGAGACAAAGACTGCCCAAGCCCCTGACCCAAGAAGGCACGATCAAGTATAAATAGTGGTTGTTGGTCACCACTAGCTTAGATATGACTTGTTACACAGCAGCAGAGAAGTAGAACATTTCTAGGTATGGAATGTACTTACATTTTCTGCTCTACCATCCTCTGCTTTATGTGCTGTTCACACTCAGCAAATGGATCTCACAGTCCTCCAGTGAGCCTTGTCATGGTGCCATCCAAGACAGAATTTTGTTTTTTTTTTTTGGAATCAGGGATCAAAATCATGGCCTTACACTTTCCAGGCAAGTGCTTATGCTACTGAGTAAACCCCTGGAAAAAGAGGACTTTTTGTCTTGTAAGCTGACAATAAATTGCACATTGAGCAATCTTGCATCTTGCCTGATTTAGGAGCCCAGTTCTCAAACGATCTGTTTTTGACAGTGGGTTATTACCGAGATCTTCCTTTACCATTCATTAATATGTATCTGACTTTGCATGTCTGTATTTGTTTCATGAAGTTGGGCATGTTAGTATTCAGTGTGTTTATAATCGTCATCCCTTCCTATGGATTGTTCACTTCATCAATGTGTAGTGACTTTCTTTGTCTCTTCTGACTAGTTTTGGCTTGAAGTCCACTTTGTCTAAAGTTAATATCACTACAAAATTTACACATTTTGGGTTTTGTTGTAAAACAGAGAAAAAAGTGATCTAAAGGATACAACTGCAAGTGTGTTTAGGTGTGTTAAGATAAATGAACATATTACTGAATTTTTGTTGGATCACTGAACACAACTGTTTGCAGTCTCACTGTTTGAATGTCCACTTTGTATGCTTTAATCCTGTAACTTGAACAACCATTTCTAAGATGACAATATGTAATCTATTATCATTTCTTACCTTTTTTTGTAATTGTGTGTTACTTGTACCATTATACTGTTTTGTTTTGTTTTTCTTTTTTTTCCTTTTAAATAAAAAATAAAGTTAGGATCACTACTTCTCTTTTCCTGCATATAATATTATTTTCCATCTTTTGATCTTTAATCTGTGAATTTCTTTTTGAATTAAATGTGTTTCTTGATTCCTGCATATCATAGGATTTTGTTTTTGGATCAGTTCTGCCAGTCTGTGTCTTTTGGCTGGGGAAACCATTTCACACTGAGAGTTTTTACTGAAAACTATCAACTTATTCTTGTTGATATTCCTTTCCTTTTTTTTTTTTTCTTTTGCTTAACTGCTCATCACACTGGGTATATTCATTCTTTTTGACTTATTGACATTGTTGGCTTTATTGTTGTTTTCCAGAAATACCCTTAAAATTTTTGTTTCTTTTTAAATTTATTTTACTTTAAAGAGAAAAAAAGAAAAACAAACAAAATTTCAAAGCACAATAATTAGAGATTGTTATCTTCAAGTCAGTTGAAATTTTTTGGTAATGCTGGTTTGGTGGCCATGAATATCTTGTCTTCTTGTAATGGAAATACTTTATGTCTGCATCAGTTATGAAGGAGAGTTTTTCAGGATGCATAAGTCAGGTTTGGAAGTTATCTTTTAGAGCTCGAAACCCTTCAGTCCTCCTGGCCTTGAAGTTCTGTGTTGAGAAGTCTGGTGTAATTTTAATGCGTTTACCTTTCCATGTGATTTGTTGCTTTTCTGTAATAGCACTTAAGAGTTTGTCTCCTGTGATAGGTTTCTGGTACTAAAAGTATAATAAGCTCTCTTTTGGTCATGCCTCACTTATTGGTTTGCTTGTTTCTTTTCCTGTATTTGGGGAGTTTTCTGCCATTATTTCTGTGAATATTTTTTATGCTATTTGTGTTATCCTCTGATTTATCACTTTTTCCAATTACTCATAGGCTATTTTGTGTCATCCAGTGGTTGAGTCCATTTTTCACGTTGTCTTGTTGGTTTGTGTAGTTGGTTTCTGAAAGCATCAATGCCTTCGAATTCTGAAATTCTGTTCTCACACTGGTCATTTCTGCGGTCCAAACTTTCAATATAATTTTTAATCACCTAGATTTCTGATTTTAACCTTTTTATGGATTCCAATTTTTTTTCTTCTAAACTTGTCATTATGGTTTGTATAGTTTTGTTTAGCTCAGCTAGTTTGTTATTTGTGTCTTCTGGAAGCTTCTGGATCACTTTGGTTATTACTTCCATTATCTGCTTTGTTATGTCTTCTGTGGTTCCTCTGTGTACCTCTCTGATCTGTTTTCCAACCTCCTTTGAAGTAATTCCCATGTGTGGCTTATCCTGTTCTCTATACCCTGGATTGGTGTCATGGAGCTGAGAGATTCGGGAGGCATTCTATTGCCTTTTATTCCCCCGTTTCTCTTGGGCTTTTTGTTTTATTTTGTGCTAAATTTATGGATGATTTTAGTGTAAAGACTTTGTTGCTAGTGTAGAAATCTTTTTAGATGGTCACTTGTAGTGACATATTTTGGGCTAACTACAGTGGTATGTCAGTTGACAAATTTAATCTGTTCCCTGAGTCTGGGGAAAACAGCCACAGTTGCATCTGTCTAAAATAGATCGACGCAGTCATGTTGGTCACCAGATGAAGAATTTGTAAACAAACAGAATTTTGCCAAATGCTTCTGTTTGGAAACCAAATTATTGACAAGCAAAAGCATTTGTGAACTGAGCTACCACTGAGACTCAGGCAGAGAGGTTTTTATGGGGTTTCAAATGGGAAGTAGAGAGGTAGAGCACATGACTGTCTTTGATTGGTTTTTTTAATATGTTTCATAAGATCAGCTGTGCATCACAGTGACCAGCTGTTTCTAAGAAACAGAAGTAGCAGGAACTGATATCTGGGGAACTAACAGAAAGTCAAGTACACTGGCTGTGGGAGTGTGGGGCTGTTTGTGCAGTGTAGATCTCTTTGCAATACCTCAGAGCATTGAAACTGTGAAGAATCTGATGCCTCACATGTAGCATTATTTCCTCAGAATATGATGTTCAAGGTCATTTGCTTAGTTCATCAAGCTTGATTCCCAGTGTTCTTCCCATCCTCTTGCCTATCCCCATCCTCAGGCAATTACAGCACACAAGCCTTTCTGTACCTTGCAGCAACTCTCCTCTCTTGTACCTGACATCAGGAGCTTATTATTCTCTTCTCAACTGACCCGGTGACCATACCTAGTAATAAAAATAATCTTTATCAGAAAATGAAATAGTTTCACAAATACTAATGAGTTCCTTAAACACAACAGGGCTCCACTGACACTTTTTCTGGGACATACTCTTAAATAGAAAATATTCTCGTAGAACAAACTAAAGTATATGTAACTCAACTGAAACTATCCCATGCATATTATCAGATTACATAACAATGAAATTGGAAATCAATGGCAAGGGAAACCAAAGAACTAGACCACAGATATAGCTCAGAGGCATAAGTGCCTGTCTGGCAAGTGCAAAGTATGGAGTGCAATTCCAGATACATAAAAAGAAAGAAAGGGGGGAGAGAGAGAGAGAGAGAGAGAGAGAGAGAGAGAGAGAGAGAGAGAGACAGAAAGAGAGACAGAGACAGAGAGACAGAAGGGATAAACCACAAGAAATCCATAAACACATGGAAATTAAATAACACTATCCTAAAAAAACAAATGTGTCACAGATGAAATTAACAAAGAAATTGGATAATTTATACACTTACAAGATAATAGTAGTAAAACCATACTTGAAATTACAGGACACGTTGAAAGTAGTCCTAAAAGGGAAAGGTTTAGCAGTGAATATACATGTCGGGAAAACAGAACAAGCTCAAATAAATAACTTACTGTTGAACTGCAATCTTACAGATAGAGAAGAGCAGGTTAATGATGAAGATCATATGAAGGAGGAAATTACAAATCATAACAGAAATTAAAGAAATGGAAACTAAGAAATCAAAGCAAAAATCCATGAATGCAATAGTTGCTTCTCTGAAAGATTACATAGGATGGAAAAAACTCCTTATGAAAAAGAGGAAGGAAAAGACTCAAATCCATGCAGTTAGGAATCAAAATGGTGAAATGACAACAGATCTCACAGAAATCCTAAAAGTTCTCTGTTCCTGCCTCAACAATTGGCATGCTAGTAAGAGACAAATGGAGTAGAAATAGAAAGATTTTTTGATACATAAGAATTAACCTAGTAGGATCAAGAGAACACACATATTCTAAATAAACCAGTTTCAGTGCCAGTATGTATTAAACGCTGTAATGTTCTTTGTGGGTAGATATTACCATAAACTGTCCTCTCTTTACAGTTCAGTGTTTGTTATATCTATTGGCAGAAGTTTCTAGTCCAACTGACCTACACCATTCAGAAGAAAAACACAGGAACAAAGAAACACTAGCCAATAAGATGCCTCAAAATTTTACACCTCCCCAATAGCTATCTGGCAGTTAATAAAAATAAAATTCAGAATGAAACCAAAAATGAATAGAAGAGAATAAAATGATCAGAAAACACAATGCCATATCACACTGTCAACATTATTTTTTCACATAGATTAAATGTTTGATTCTTACATTTCTGCAAAAATAAAAAGACTCTAAATAGTCTAATCAACTTTGATAAGGGAAAAACTAGAGCTCCAACCCTGCCCAACACAAATGGTTCTAAATATATAACCTAAGCATCACAGAGGTCAATGAAAGGCTGGAGAAACACAGTAAGGTCTAAAATTCTTATCCCTCCCAAATTACTGCACAAAACTTTCAAATATAGGCACTGAAATGGATGTCCAGATAATGAGGCATTTAAAACTCCAAGTAGCTACAACCAGAAAAGAAACTCTCCACATCGCATTGTGGAAAAATCCAACAAATCACAACAAAGAAAAAACACTAAAATCCATTAGAGAGAAATATGAAATAACTTCTAAAGATAAACCTCTAAGAATAACTGCAGATTTCTTAACACAGATTTTCAGGCCAGGAGAGATTGAAGGAGTATATTAAATTAGAATAAATCAATGCACATAATAATTACCTACTAAAGCATATTTCCAAATTTATGAAGAAATAAAGAATTTCCATGGCTAAGAGTCATTTAAGAAATTCATGATGAGCAAACCAGCTACAGAAACATTGAGAAGTTAATCAAAAGAAAGAAACCAGTAAAAGAAAATAATACAATGGTGGGAATGAGACAGTATGTTTCAGTAATAACTCACAATTTAAATATCTTTACCAATGATTCTTTAAGGATCATGGACCACAAAGTCAGAGATTCTAGAGATTCAAAAATAGAGCCACGTGTAGTGACTCCCATATGAAAACAGCACTGAGGAGGCTGAAGCAGGCAGATCACTGAAAATATCATGGCAGCCTGAGCAACAGAGTGAGTTCAAGGCCGTCCTGAACTGCATAGCAACACCCTATATCAAAACAGACCCAAAAAATTGATAACTCAACTATGAATGAAAATGGTACAAACTACACACTTGACAAGCTCTATCTAGAGTGTGGACTTGTTAGCTGTAAAAAACACTCTGAAGAAAACAATTATAAAAAAACCATGAAAACAACTAAATTTTCATTTTGAGTGATCAAATCGTTGGACACAAGTGACAGTTAATATAATGTGTACCCTCAGGAAACTCCAGAAGACATCTGTACCTTACCTTTTAATTTTGTAAATTAGTTTTCTTTGAAAGACACTAAGTCATTATAAATGTATCATCATTGTAAAACTGAGCACTTGAGAGTGAACATTTAATTGAATGTAAATGGCATTTGTCAGGGGTTTTGTTTTTATTAGAATGGATTTGAAAGTTTTCTTTTGATCCAACTAAGTGGATGAAAAGAAAAGCACTGTTGAAATGAATCACCTTGTGATTTGGAGTATCTGAGGATACTCATCTTATTGCACTGTGAGGTTAATTTTCTGCCAAATGAGTGACCATGGTAATAGATGTAGCTTTACAGCTTGTTTTCCTTGTGTGGTGGCCCTGGGCATGCAATCTAGAGCCTCTTGTAAGCTAGGGGAAGCCCGCTCACAGTGACCTACAACCCCAATGCATTTGAATCTTTTTTAAAAAATGATCTTGCTAATTTTTCCAACTTGACCACAGTTCAAATTGGAATTATAGCCATGGGCCAGTCTACCCATTTGGCTTTAGATCTTTATATAGATAATAAAATTTCATTTTATACTCAGGGTGTGAAAGGGAAGAGATTTAACTCAGCATACATCATTTGGAGGATTATTGTCTAATATTCACCCAAAGAGTTCAATGCAAAACTGTGGGGGAGTTTCATGCACATACTAGACATGCAAAGAACCCAGGTAAGGACTATATCCCATGGCACTGTGCTTCATGACACTACTCCAGCTAACCACTTAGAGCCCATGACCACACATATGCTCAGCTTATACTCACGCAATACCACACATAAGTTCAGCTTAGAGGACACGACAATATCTTATGCAAGTCTGTATCAAGAATCTGCACTCAGTGGCCCACATGTCAATGATGGAAACCAGAAAGGCCTTCCCAGCACAGTGAAGGATCAGTGTCATCAGGGAGAGACCTCTGCTTTGAAACCAGGAAGCCAAGTTGAGGGGAAGGAACAAGTTCCCTTGAAAAGAACCTCAGCCGTCCTCAGTGACAGGACAGGAGCTGCTCTGACAATGAGGACAGGTAAGTTCATATCACGAAATGCAGCGATAATAGCTTCTCAAGGAGAATGAACAGCACCATCTTCCTCTCCAGTTCTCCTTTCAGGCGGTTGGCAACAATCCTCAGATGTTCTTTCCATACCCAGAGCCAAGCTGACTCAATTCAGCTGGGAGTATCAAGTTGCCCATTCATGAATTCAGCACAGGGCTGCTCTCTCACAATGTGGGAGGTTGAGGCTCTACTTTATGGCAATTCACTATCATTGACACAGTTTCACTGACTGGAATTGCTCTTCAAACAAGGAACAGACTACATGAATCTAGAAAAGGTAAACACCTACAGGTGACACAAAGTACATAGGCTGATTGTGAGAAGTAGAAAAATGATTTAAATGCCATACATGTGGGTTCTTTATGACCACTGGGGTGATGTTTTATAGGCATTACAGAGGATATCTGCCATACAATCACTGCACACTGACCTGACTCCACGTTTTCCTGAAAATCAGACCTAAAATGAAGAAAACAGTTGACAGTCCCAATCTGACTATTGCTGCTTTATTTGCCATTACAGAGTACCAATCAAGCAGGAGAGCAGTGAGGCATCATCTTCATAACAGTGGCCATCCCCAAGGTAATGATCAGCAAGGGCTGATTCCCATTAGCTCTTTCCAGTCTTTCAAACACACAGTTTCAGACATACACTCTCTGTCACTAAACTGAATACTCTACTTTGGTACTAAGTTCATTAGCTCAGGATGAATAATTAATCACCTCTCTGCACGTGAAAGCATCCAACTGGTATGAATCCACCACTGCTACTGCAGAAGTAAGACTCTGAACCAAACATTGATATCTCTAAGGGAAAGTTACTGTGAAATTTTCTAGAAAGTTGCACTACTTTCTAGTTAAAAAGGAGATGAAAATAGAATCAGGAAATAAAAGCACATTAAATTTAACAACTATCTACCTGTAAATCCCCAGCACAGTATCTTCAGAGAAAATGCTCCTTCAATGGAAAAGACCCAACAGCACTGTGCATACCACATGCAAAATGTCAATGTACACACATTGACTTAAATGTAAAGATATCACCAGGGCCTCGTATCACCAAAAGGCATCCTAGTTGAGCTGTTTCTAAGTAGCACACTGGATTAGAATAGAGGGTGTGTGTGGCTGTAATCCCAGAACTCTAGGCAGCTAAGTCAAGAGCTCAAGGGAGAGTCCAACCTGAAAAATCTTGTGACTTCGAGAAATATTCAGTTTGTATCAGAAAAAAACAGTCTGTGGATACATCTATAAGGTACAAACAAGGTACAAACTCCAGGAATGCAAAAGTAAGAAAGTAATAGACAGATGATGTATAGATCAAATTATTCCCATATACTTAGATAAAATACAACAAAATGAGTAAGTAGCTAGATTATTCAGTATGAAGAGAAAGATGGGCCATGGAGGAGGGGAGATTGGTGAGCCTGCTAGGGGCACGGAACCCTAAAATGCCACCTCACTTCCTTGGCAACCTGACC